GTAAGAAAAAGCTGGGATCTCAAAGCACCGCGTTCAGTCTGTGACACCTAGTAGGGCCTCTGGCTACTTGTTCCTTGCCACTCTGCCTCAGACAAAGAGGTGTCATGGTCCCCTAATTTCCCAATTCTGAGTGCGTAGTGCCTTTTCCAGTTCTTGCCCTCGGCAGTTTTCAAATCAGGAGCATATTGCTCCCCCACCCCAGGTAAGACCATACACCATTGTTTTTCAAAGGGTCGCTATGAACTGAATTCGACTCAACAGCACCTAATAACCACCACCGAGGCAAGAGGACCTTTCTGCAAACCACGAAGAATTGAGAAGTGTTCTGCTGGGGACTGGGTATGAAGTCAAAGGGGCGCTGACCAAGATGCATACAAGATGTGCACTAGCCCGGAGCACAAAGGCCTGCAGAGAAGGGGATGGTGGCGGGGTGGGAGGCGGAGGAGGGAGGTTTTCCTCCTTCACCGGACCACTCAAGACAGTCAACCTTCCAAGGCTGGTGGTTTACCTGGGGGGTAAGTTGCCCTTCCCAGCCGTGCTCATTTGAATGCATGGAAATGAGAGTTGACTTTGGCAAGGTATCGTTTGCTCTTGGCCAGCAAAACGGTTTTGACGCCCACAGGCGAGGTCGGGTGGGGCGCAGCTCCGGCTCTGGTATCCGGCTGCGTGAAAGCCAGGCCTGCTCACAAACCCGGCAGCGGCTCCGGCGGTGGTAGGAAAGCGGCAAACCCAGAGGCAACAAACTGGAATATTAAAAAAAAAAAAAAAAAGGCCAGTAAACGAAAATCTTGGGTGTGCACGAAGAGGGTATCCCACCATCCCACCTCATCAAGACCAAAGGCGCTGCCAAGAACCAGGAACCACAGACTCCGCCCGAAGACAGACAGGTGGACCCCGCTCCCACGCCACGGAGTCGGATGCCTGGTGAACTGTGAATTAATTTGCTAATTAATTATTTAATAATGCAAAAAAGACGAAGAGGAAGGAAAGTAGGAGGAACAAAAGAGGGGTGGGAAGGAAAAGAAAGAATGGTTGCTTAAAGAAGAGGAACAGGAGTTTGGACGCTGGCCCAGCCTGGGCTCCTCCCCAGGCAAGACCTCCGGCCCCGTGCGCCCCGCGACCGTGGGCGGGAAGCCAAAGGCCCACAGTGGGGTGCGCCCTCCGCTGCACCTGGCTCATTTCCGGACCCCGCACACACCGAGTGCGCGCTGGCTGGACGCACTAGAGCAAGCTGGTCTTTCCAATGTCCCACAGACTCTCCCTCGGCCCTAAAACGACCAGTCAGGGTCGGCTTTGAACAGCAATAAAGGCAACAGGTCTCAGCTTTCTTTGCGTCTCATTCATCCTGGCAGGGAGATTTAAACTAGATTGGAGACCCCTGGGGAGCATGGCTGGGTGGGCCCACCGCGTCCGAGAACTGATCTTAGCCCCGTCGGGAAGGGGGCTGACTAGAGAGACGGGGCGCCCTCGGGAAGCCCCAGGTGACACCGCAGAGCCTCACGCTCCTGCTGCTCCCTGGACCCCGCGAGATCCCATTAAACCCGAAGACCCCGACTCCACCGGAGGCCACCGACTGGCGCAGAGGCGTCTTGGGGATAAACCGCTCCGGGTCATCACCTTCCCCTTCTCTTGGCTTCCGTAAGGGTCTGCGGGGTACATTCCCACCCACGTGGTAATGGGAAAGGGAAGTCCTGTCTGCCCAGTGTTGTCTATGATCCGTGTGCCACCCCCTTTTCTGCCGGACCTTCGGGGCGCAAACCAGTGGGGATCCGCAGGCGCAGCTTCCGGGAAGGGCGGAGCCGCTTCCTCCACTCCCTACCGCCTGGGATACCGCGCACCCCCTGGGTCCCCGACCTCTTCGCAGTCCTAGGAAGTCCCACCTCCTGCGGGCAAGGCCTCACCTGGGCCAATTTGTCTGGGGTCGCTCTAGGAGCCGCAATGTGGCTCGCTCATGCTTCTCTGCCCTGAGTCTATCCAACCTCCTCGTGGCTGAAGACTGGTCTTAATGCCCCCCCCCCCGAAAAAGCAACTCTGTCTTTGCAAAGCATAAAGTCAAGATCTATTCGTGAGAGAGATTGAGAAAGAGTAGAATGGGGCAATTGGACACGGCACCCTGAGACCAACAACCCAGCAATCCGTGGCAGCAGCTTTCTTTTATTTTTCCCAAGTTAAAGACCCATCCTGGTCTTCCAGATTAGCTTTCAACCCTCAAAAAAACTGGCTGACTGGTATCTGGACACACCGTCACCTCTTTGGTTTAAAGTGTCCTGTAAGGCCACAGAACTGCCTCCTTTTCCTTCTTCTTGGCCTCAGTAAGTCAGCTGTGAGAATTTGAAGTCCTTGGCTGAGGTGCAGGGTTCAAGCCTATCTCACTGGCAGGGCTGGGATAAGTCAGAGCTCCCTCCCCACGGCAGGAGGCGCTATGAGCGCGGGAATCCTCTCCCCAGGCCTAAACTCTGCAATACCCCCCAAGTCCCTGGTGAATTAAGGCACCTAAAATTGGTAGAAACACAGAAAAGCACTCTGCCCTATTGTTCTTGGCCTTGAGGAAGTAGGGGTGAAACTTTAACTTTGCTTTGTCTGTAAGACCATTTGTCCACCAACAACGGTTTTTCTATTTTTTTTCTTAAATTGACTTTAAGGAGGTGGGAGGGAAGAGATGGAGTCTTATAGTTTGGGGAAATTGGCGAAAAAAACTCCAAGTGTTCAGTGTTTTAGCTGATCTTCCTTTAGGTGACAGCGTTTCTTTGTATGCTCCCCCCAAACCATTACCAAGTTAGTAACAACACAGAAAATACCCGAGTCATGTTGGACTTTATTCAAGAGCCAAGGTGTTGGTTGGAAGGAATGAGGAAGATCATTAGTAAATAAAGTCCTCAGGATCAGACCCAGAAAGCCAGAGAGATGAAACTGAGGTCCTGAGTACACAATGCTTTTAGCTGATAGGAACTTTGCACAAAAGAATTAGTCTGTCAGAAATGTGTGCAGATTCGAAGATACATTTACACACACTGGTGTGACAGACTTGTATCAGAAGGGGCTGGCTGCGTTGAGAGGGCGCTGCACTGTTAAGTTCCAGGTGGATTTAATTTCACTACTCAATTCCCTTCCTTACAATGTGACATCCCCTCTCTCTCTTTTTTGTTAAAAAAAGGAATTGTAATCCGATGCTTTTATCTTTTTTATTTCCTTAACTGAACATCTTCACCCGCTCTCGCTCCCCTGCTGATTTAAGAGATTTGCTTGGTTCAAGGATTTAACGTGATTCTCTTGCCAGAATTCAAGGAAGAGCGATGTAAAAGAACAAAGAAGAGGAGGGGAAAGGGGAAATAAGGTATCTCTCCTTGGAGGACAAGTCAAAACATATTTCTCAACATGAGATTAATAACATTTCTTTAAAACTTTACAAAGCATTAATATTTTATTGCTGCTTATGGAAATCGATTAGTATTACAGGCTATACCACACACACACAGAGGCACATACTTAGGCACACACACACAGGCACCATCACCCCACCGTGACTTAGATTTCGACATTCACACTAATTGGTTCCTATCCCCATGGCTACTGGACAACACGCTACCAAGAACCTCATAGGGGCCAAGACGCTGTAACTGAGAGGGCTGGGCCCAGGAAGAATTTCCCGCCGGTATCTGTGACAGACTGTGAGCCCGGCGAGTGCCTAGCGTTCTGGCCACGTCCCTCTGGATCAGAGAGCTGGCAGCTGTGGACCAGCGCGGCCTTCGGCCTGGCACCTTCTGAACCCGACAGATGTGCGCCCGCGCCATGGCCCTGGCTTTTCCAGTTAACGCGCGCGTGTTTGGGAAGATGTTCCCTCCTCCTGACCTTTCCCTATCAGAAACCAGACGGTTGCCTCGAGCTCAATCCCAGAGGCTGCGGGAAGGGGGGTGAGGAGGAGGAGCCGGGCGGAGGGAGGCCGGCCCGCCTCGGGCCCGCCTGCCCTATCACACAGACATCTGCTCTCAGTTTCTTCCTCTTTATGATCGCTACAGATGACAAAGCGAGTGGAGCCGACCGAGGAGGGGGAAATAAAGTTATGTCATAAAGATATAAAACGGTGCCGTGACTCACCTGCTCTTAGCCGCAGGTACGGGTTTCGTGGCAGCACCTCCGCTCTGCGAGCCAGGAGCCCGCTTCAGCCTAACGTCATACGGCCGGGGTGACTCAGTTGGCTGGGATTCTATAAAGGGGCACAAGTGGGGCTTTTCCCCCTTTGCTAGCCTTTGGTCCTGAGGAGACTAAAGTAGGGGGAGCCTGGACTCCTCTGAGGGTTGAACTTTGAATGTGGAATTAGGGGAGTTGGGAGAGGGGGAAGTGGGCAGAAGTGCAGGAGGGGCCCAGGACCTGGCCGTAGTGCAGGCCTCCGGGGACCAGAGGGTGCACACAGAGAGGGACCCCCAGCATCGTTCTGCTCACACTGCCCTCGGAGCCCGAGCCACTGCCCCCAGCTCCTCTCCAGCTGCGCGGGTCCCCTCAGTGCCTACACCAGTTGGCCCTGCCCCGCCTAGTTTTCGTTTTCCTCTTCCAAACGGGGTTACACCCCCACTCGGTTTCCCTCTTCCCCAGCCTCCCGGCTAAACCAATTACGCTGCTTTACCCACAAAGTCCGGGACGGGCTGGGAGGAGGCGGTGGGGGAGGGGCACGGGGGGCG